AAAATTTATTCTTCCGTAATGAAACGAACAAATGTCTGATTTTCTTGAAGGAAAAAAGAAAACTTCCGTTTATTGTATATATATTTAAAGAAGATTGATTAATAATAAGTAATATATTTGGTATATGGTTTCTCACATGGCCACGCGTATATATCCTCTGCCAGGGAAGTCCTACTCACTGCCTTTTCGCACCACGGGTGTTGTTTACGAAAATGAGAGGACGAAAAGCAAATGTCTGGCGATTTAACTGGATCCCAAATCAATGGTGCACATGGACTCCAGTATCCTGCGGGAACAAATGGCGTATGAACCAACTGTTGGTCACTGGCTACCATTGGACTGCATCTCCACACGATGCTTCACTGCCTTGTAGGTCAGACCTTCAGATCGAAGGGTTAGGGAGTGGCCCTCTAAGAAAACCACCTGCTTCGGTTTGGGCACCCGGGCACTATCACAGCCATCACACATATCGAATGAGATTTGTGTGGCACATATGTATTTGGTGCCTCCTTGTACCAATATCTATGTGTTAAAATAATAATGATAACAATAATAATAATAATATATGGTTAGGGGTGGAATATGGAGATAACATTTTGTTCTATTTCGAACCCGCTAGATAGATCTACCTGCCTGTGATGTTTGTATGAACAAACGACTCCCTTGTACATGTTGAATGCTTGATTTCGAATTTCAAATACATTAGATTAGTTCGTGTTTATATAGTACTTATTGATCCCATTGCGTTATTTCTGAAATTCTTAGTTTGCACTATAATTCAAATACTTCTAATTATCACACTGCCACATCTTAGTGTTGTTACGTACATTAAGATTGTAACGAAGTGCTTATTTTCTTTGAATTTGAATGAGTCATCTCCTGGGGTATGGGGTTAAGATACATCATAACTTATTCAACGGGTTCGAGTTTCAGTGTGAACAGCAACATTTGCCTACAGGTACATCTAACTGATGAGTTCTAAACAAGAGAGAAAATAGGTTTTTGATTTCACTGTTTAATATTGTATAGCTTCAACAAAACCTTGTGACTAAATAGGAATATTGAGACAATCCATTCAGAATGTAGATTTACCAATAAAGACTGATTAGTTCAAGTATTTAACATCGACAACGGGAAAAGATAAACCTTCATTAAAATTACAACTAAAATTCACTTTATTGCAGATGCCTCAAAATATATGTATCATCAAAATATTTAACACTTGACTTTCAGAATAAAAAGTGGGAAAATCCACCCAAGAAATCAAATCAGGGGACTCTATTTCACTGTAGTCAGATGGTTGCCGTGGATTCAAAGAAAGCAGGCCATATTTCGAGGTTATGAATGCATACTTCCCGGCTCCCACTGTTAGTTTTAAAATTATTGAGTTTATCCTAGACACCATTAATATGGATTCCAATACAAATACTGGTATATATCCAATGAAAATTAGTTGGAGATATATTATTAAGTTCAACAATCCCAGATTTCCGTTTAAACAGTGGAGAATTCCGTAGTTGTATGGAATGATAATTGCGTAATGGTAAATAAATCCCCAAAATTATTAACTTTGTCAGTCTTTGATATATTCTTTATCTTTCTACTCGATAGTCAAGGCGAAATAAATCAAGTAGGAACTAGAATGCAAATGTTATTGAATTTATAATTCAGTGATTGGATTCACTAGTATATACAGTAGTTATAAACAGTCAAAGTATGATTAGATAAATGGATACAAGTGGACTAGAATAATGACAGTACTGGATTAAGGTCAAGATCAAATTTCTTTGTAAATGAATTGGATTTATATTAACACTGGAACTTAGAATCAACAGCAATCGTATTAGAGTAGACATAACACTGGTAGTAGAATATTCAACAAGTGTATTGGAGTGAAATAAACTCAGAACTGGAATTCTGTGTATTAATCTTCATTGTATTGAAACGATTACAAACTGTCCAGAGTATCAATTAGTTAGCATGTCTGAAGCATTTATGCATCAATAAAGTAGTAAAATATAGTGTCCAAATAGATAGGTAGAGAGACAAAAATCAAAGGAATATTGGGAGGATTCACATGTAAGGCATGCGAATTAATCACACAACTGAGTACAAGTTGACCAGTAAAATTGAAGTAATTCATTTAGCAGTCACATGCTCAGTCAGATATTCCAAGATGGACATACAGTTATGCGGGTTTAACACACGTAGATTAAATGCCATATTCTCCGACACAGAACACATCTCTAGCTCAAGGTTCTTGGTCAACAGTCAGCACCGAATCTGTGTAGACTGGATAGATTGTTCTGAGTATCAACTATGACAACTAGCCGACTTAAGTTGTAGAGATGATTCTCATAGACTTATTTTGTAAATAATTTTTGCAATTATCCACTTGTGGTGGTCGATATTCGACATAATCCTTAAAATTCATATACAGTTCGTCCTGATAACCGTCACTGAATGACGCCCCAACAATGTATTAATCAGAAGCGAATACGAAGTGTTGATTATGTTTATTAGTGCACCACGCACAGATAACCATAACTACATGTACGCTAAGCAAGCATGAAAGGGTGGTGCAAGAAGCAAGCGGGCAAGCAAGTGAGCGCTCGAGATGAATGAGCGAGTTGGCGAGTCAATTAACAGGATTAAAATGTATATATAAGGAATAATCGGATCAGTTAAGCGACTAACAGGTCAAGAATGGTGAACACGGGAGGAATGGAGTCGAACCGACATGGCGTGGCCACTCTGTAAAACAAGCTGCGTCTTGTATTAAATATACTCTCTACTTTGAGTGCTAAACATCATATTGCAGACTATCATGATACGACGAGTCAGCGTAGACAATGATGTAACTTCCACCTAAGATCTTACAAATTAGAATTTCATATCATGACAAATCTACAATTTTGAGATTAGGTCTATTATTTTAGTAGCAAAGATAAATGTACTAATACCGAAGTAGGCAATAATTCAATAACCTCTATACTTTTTGCAGAAACTTTATCGCTGTTTTTGGTATTGATACGTCCGATCCACCACACGTTTCGTGCTCCATTTTCAAACATATAATCACATCCTTGACTTGTGGTTTACTTGCCTTTGGGACCATTGCGTAAAGATGGGTTTTGGACAGTAGAATTGTCAAACATCGAGTATCCATGATGTCTTCAATTTCCTTTGAAATTGTAGCATGTTTTATGCGCATTGTGCCCATGCATCTGTTCTGTTGTTAGTCAGCAGTCGCATTGGTCCTTAAACACACGATCCTTCAATCCGAACATATACTGACCAAGGGGGCTTGTGTTAAACACTAACCATTTCAAGAAAATTTGGAGACGGAACACTCAGTCGTGGCTGCATGTCTTGGGCTTGCAGTCGTTGTCACTCTGTTTCTTCTTTTTCTTTATATGGGGTAAATTATTCCATCCCCAGCCCGAATGTTCTTCAGGAAGACATCATGTATGTTGGGTCAGTATAGACAGTAATGTGACTTTTGTATGAGATCTTGTAGTTCAGGTAGTCACACCATGTCAAGTACACTATATTTGACTCAACTTATTGTTCTAGTAGTATAGATAAGTGCGTTAATACCGGTCTAGGCCTAAATACTACAGTCAATCTTGAGTGCTGTTAGATATATGAGGGCGGTTATCATGTCCCCTTTGCCATCACCGTGGAAGGATTATTCTAGAGGTACCTAAAAATGAAATTGGGTTGGTGTTAGTTTTACTAATCTGGGCGTGTGACCGCAGTGCCCAAGGGACAACTATTTGAGGCCCGTCACACACGACATTTTTGTATGTTATTTTCATGTTGGCTTCGTACTTGGTGAGATCTTACCGCCGCAGACAGATATCCGTTGGATAAGACGGGGTGTGGCTTTTAGGGTCGAAAATTTCTAACCCCACCGTTCCTTGTGGAAAGGTAGTATTACTATTCTGCTAGTTGTCTGAGGGGAACACCTTACTGCCGTCACACCTCTGTAATGTCAATATTTCGATTTCGCAATTGGACTTTGGGTTTGCTGGTCTTAGTCTTGCCGCTCTTCAACCGACCTTTCTAGTGGGGTAGGCCCTTAAAGAACGATTGTTTCGGCCGCTGTTGCTCGATTGGTCCACCACGATAGGTAATCCCGACTACTACTTCAAGAGGGAACACAAAGTCCTCACAACCGACATAAATTTATGTACCAAATTATTTTCTTGTATTTCGTACTAAGTTGTTAGAGGGTTCCGCTACATGTTACTTTCTGCCATATTTTTACTCCATCGACGATAATTTTTATGGAACGTCACTGAGCTCTAGTTAAGTATCTGGCAGTCAGGTCACTGAATGTTGAACGGTTTGCTGATCCTCTTTATGGTTGAGGACAGCAAATGTGACCAAATTAATTGCACGCCGTGGACTGGCCCATACGGTGGTGGCCGCACTCTGTTTCCTGTACCAACTCTAATACATTTCTGGGATAACGTCGTTTGTGTTGTACGGTCATCAAAGTAGACATAGTACCCGAATACGACGAAAGGGTAATCCATGTTAGGTACTAAACACGGGGTGTGATTTTGACGTCGGTTAGTTGTCCTCACCCCACCCTTTTAACTTTAGTGGATCCCTAATCATTTGACACAGACCATCTACGCTAGCGATCTACACTGGTGGGATTCGAAGTTAAAGATGGAAAATAACCTATCAGGCAAGCAAACGCGGTACCCCTCCTTATTAGCTCTGCCAAAGGCATCACCAACTGTGATAAACTGTCATATCCCTTAGTCCTGGTAACCTGATGTAACACATCCGAAATTCGTGTCTACTGTGGTCGTTTAAATCGAGGCTACATAACTTTATTTGGCTTATGGATCGATAAATTTCTTCAAAGTTGCAAAACATTGGGTTAGAGAATCCTGTAATAACTATTTTTGTCTAAGCTATGCATTGTCAGTTTTACTTTGTTTTTGTGCTACAAGTTCGAAGGTCAAGGCTCCTTCGGGACCGCCATATGTATATTCGCCTCCGCCATGTTTGTCCTTTGAAATTGTTAGCTAGTGTTCGTCATAATTAAGACAGATTTTGGAAATCGGTATGTGTATTCGTGCATTAAAGTACTAGATTTTTTCGACACCATATGTTTAACTGCCTGACTACTTCGAATAGCTGGAATAATCACAACTCTGTTTTAAATGATAACTTAGAGAGTAGGGTAATGTATTTGTTGAATTCTTTCTGGTTTCGTTGGACTTCAGTATTGTTTTTGATGACTTCTGATTTCCTTAACTGATATTAGGCACAATATTCAGTGGGTCTCGACTGAAGTATTATCTACAGTTATGAAATCCGTGGGTTTCCAATACCAGAAACTCTGACTGTAAATAAGTAAATATGAAAATCGTAGCAGTTAATTGGTCCAGTCTAAGTCTTTGAATTACTTTAATCGTTTGCATTCGCTATCCACCTACTATCAAATAAGTAAGGTTTTGTAAAGTCGAAAACACGATAAAAAATAGTAACTTGATGGTTAAGGACGTTGTACATTTCTAAGAAGTATCAAGCAGTCATTCTTTTCATTATCCAGGCTTTATTTGAGTCCGCCAGAATTTTCCCGCTTACGGCTCATAGTCACTTATTACGACGTGTGTTTAACTTCCCTTGTCCGCCTGCTAATGTATAAATATGTATCCCATGTTTCACAGACATTCTGTAGTTGTGAGCTACTAAAACTTATAAGAGATTTAGGACACCAATACAAAACGCCCCGGTAAATGTCCACAGACTAGCTGCTTCATCCCACAATATCATAAATGAGGCATTGTTAGGCATGATTTACAAATGACCAACCATAGATACCTCACGACAACAGCGGATTAGACTGCCAAAATGAAGATTAAGGCTAGGTTAAACAGTTGAAATGTTAAGAACTAACCAGGACAAGTTGGGGAATAGAAATCGCGTAACAGTGGTTACGGATTTAAAAGAGGCTATATTTGATAGTGCCAGTGCGGCTAGTTTTGATCCATATCATTCAGCGTCCCTGAATATGGACTAGTGATCGTGCCAACTTCGGTCGGTAAATTTTCACTTCCCGACGTGGCTATCCAGGTTACCAACTGTATGCACTGCCATCGTGTCTTCGTTTGGCCGCGTTTAGCTTTCGCGCAAACTGCCCTTGGTAATCATTGTGGATGGAGATAGTGACTCAGCAGATGCAGAGTATGTCTTAGCCACACTGAGTCGACGAAGGTTTGTGGATTCATCAGTTAACATTCCGATCATGCTTATTACTATATCACTTGAAGGTTACTAGTAGCAATGTTTCGAAAACCCCTATAAATATTTTCACTAGTTGTTAATGAGTTTCTACTTCGTTACATTACAACTGGTATCCGAGATATAACGTTTAAAATGAACGGTTAGTGAAGGGCAAACTACTGAAGTTTTCGCCTTCAGTCGAGATTCAGTCACTTCTCAATTCACCACAGGTTTGGGAATGATTTTAAAAGAAAAATATCCAACCCTAAATCTTTTGAATGTTTTATGTAAGATTTGATTGTGTTAGGTGCTTGTTTAGTGGCTTTCATATTTATGAATCATGAGGATTTTAACAGACCACGTAGTCCTTTGGTTTTGACGAGATCATATGTTAAATCTAAATTATGACCCAGCAGTGTATTCTGTCTTTAGGGGAGATCAGTCTTGTACACTGTCCAGACGATGCTCTACCTACTTCTTCTTGGGCAACCGACTATCTCTATCTCGTCACTAGCTTTAGGCCTAGTATCTATCTTGTAAACCAGTTATACTAATGAGTAGTGTAACATTTGTGGCCCTTTGGGTCCGAATTAAAAGTGCCTTCACAGAAAGGAAAAAGTCATCCTGTTTTGACTGCGTGTTTTTATGATATAGTAAAGAGCAGATACATAGTCTGTCTTGGCAATCAGTTATCAGAAACAAAACAAAGAGTTGATTTCTTCGTTACGCGCTACGATCTTCTTTAAAGTTACCTCTCACTCCTTTTGAATATTTAGAATTTCGTTGTAAGAGGGCACTTTTTGCATTAGAAAAGTTGTCTAAACTTTGTGAACTACAAAAAATTATGTTGCATAACTTTATAGTTAGGATGTGTATGATAAATACTATGCTTGAGTACCAGCGAATGAAAGCTATACGAAACAGTTGAGCTTAGGTGAATGCACTATGGATTTGTATACTAAAATCTAGCTTGTCAAAGGTTCCGGATGTGCCCCCCCAAGAAAACCACATGCTTCGGTTTGGGCACCCGAGCAGTATCTCAACCCTCACATAAATCGCATATCTGTTTGATGCCTCCTTGTACCGATGTTTGTGTTTAAATAAACAAATAAATAAATAAAGTATTTTAGTGACTTAGGTGTTTCGGTTGCTTTTTAATTCCAATAATCGTTACACTATTAAATCGACTCATCCTATTTTCGCTCCGTTAGTCTACTTTACCATCGTTTGACTTTTGGATTGTATCTTAACATTTTAGCTAAGACTGGTTCCGTTGTTGTACGCATTCTTTAAATTCTGATTTTCAACATGCAAATGCGGCTAATATGATTTCCATCCAAACTCCGACGGGCTAAACGTTAACGTTATATTAAATAGCAATAATTCGTTATCTCTTCGAATATTAAAAGAAATTTTTACGGTAAGTGTTTTTCACAAATTTTGGCTCACGTTCTATGTATTAAAGGTACCTCAAAGTAACTTATTTCGTCAATATGTGGAATAACAAGTTTATGTAATGTGTTGTCAGCACCCAAAAATACTATTAAACGCTGAATTTGTTGATCTGATCCCATCCACTAAAGTAGCAGCGTTTTTACAGTGATTAGTACAAATTCACTCAAGTTGGAGACCAGATCAAATTAAGTTTAATATTTTACGTAGCTACCGTCCTATTTTAGATAATTAGGCGAATGTACTGTCAGTGTTAGTGTTACTTTAATGGGTAGTCTAATAACGATATCTGGATAGGTATTAATGTCTCATTCATTATACTTCCCGGTAAAATTCAAGGTCAGACAACACTTCTGGCCATCTTTTCTTTGCTGGGCTATTCCAAGTGTTGGTAGTATAGTGATGCTAAGGAAACTCACTTCGACCCCATTCTCGCTCACTGCTTTAATCTTCATAAAAATTGTATTTTATTTCAATCTAAAGTAATGTACATAAATCTTCCATATTCATAGTTCAGTGTTGCCGTCTGTTTATCGTGAATTTTGTGTTGTCAATACTGAATCAAGTCAAATTCTTTACAGTATCCTTTTTGGCAGAGAAAAAATGATTTCTTAAACAATTTATTGGATCAATAAAGTAAAATTCCTTTTTTTAAATGTTGGTATGTAAATCTTTGCATAGATATGCAACCACATTGGCCTATCATTGCAGCGATGTCAGGTCACCCGACTATTGCTAATGGCTCAGCAATATCCATTGACCGTCACATTTCTGGTCCGATGGATTCTAGCAGTATGCTTATTGGTGCACTTACCCCTGGTTATGTACGACCGACTCTCTCTTCCAATGTTTTGCCTGGTTCCTCAATGCCTTCAGCACCTGGTGGATTCAGTCCTCATCAGAGTTTGGCTTACCCTTTCCCTCATTCATTCTCTGTTGGTGCCAACCAGTCACTTGAACCTGCTATTACTGGGCGTCAATTTCCCAATGCTTCATTAAATCCCTCTTACCACCTACAACAGTTCCAACAATCGGCTTCCCAGCCCTTACCCTTGCCTCATCCACCTGTTCCATATGGTCAGTCGTTGTCTTACTTAGCACCTTCTCTAGTAACAGCTATGGGTAATGGCAACCTTGGTCACATACATCAAACTTATGCAAATGTACCATCACAGGCACCGATGGCAGTTAATATGACAGCGCACTGCCGTACATTTGATTCTTTAAAACATTTTGGTTCTGTCCCTCAAACACAGGTGAGTTTATTATTTTTGGGCTATGATTAATTACTTTTCTCTCGTAGTTACATTGTTCCATACTAAGCCCACCGAAAATAATTTCGGAAAAATGCAAAATGTTCAATTTTACCTTTGATGGCTTAAGGTTGTACACTTTTGTGTACATTGTTCTAAATTGATATATCTATTCATCTGATGTAAAATTCCCATGACTATGTTTCGCTTCCCATACCTAGTAATTTGTAATGTGACTCATCTCAACGTTTCACATCAATTTTGCAAGTTATCTCAACCTGTTAAGCAAATTTGTGTTAAATGTTTATTACAAGGATGTACGAACAGGTCAACTGTATATAGGTATCATTACCAAGGTTTGATTTGATAATTTCGAATAAATTGAGCATTGGGTAGATTGTTATAAATAAATAGTATATTTGTAATATCCCAATGAGTAGAAAATCTAATTTTAACTTAATTGGCTTCTGAAATATTTCTCTTTGGAATATCTCATTCCGGCTCAATGATCGTGATCTGTACTGATAAGATAGCGTTGATGGCAACAATGCCAGAATGTTTGGAATGCGCTTCTCTCCCTCTAAATGCAAGTTGTTGCTTCAGGACTGGTCTGCGTTAACACCTGAACTAAGGATAGGTAGTGAAGTAGTCGAACGCGTTGACAACTTCACTTATCTTGGAAGTCTGATCAGCCCTAATGGGTTGGTATCGGACGAAATCTCAGCACGGATTCGAAAAGCTCGCTTGGCTTTTGCCAACTTACGTCACCTGTGGCGAAGGCGAGATATCCGTCTATCAATAAAAGGACGAGTATACTGCGCGGCAGTCCGTTCTGTTTTAATTTACGGCAGCGAAACATGGCCATTAAGAGTAGAAGACACCCGTAAGCTATTAGTATTTGACCACAGATGCCTTAGAAATATTGCTGGCGTCTGCTGGGATTACTGGGTAAGTAATAGTGAGGTTAGACGCAGGGTATTAGGAAATGATGGTAAATCAGTTGATGAGGTTATGAATCTTCATTGATTGAGATGGTTGGGCCACGTGCTACGTATGCTTGAACACCGATTACTACGACGTGCAATGCTATCCGGTATTGGAGATGGTTGGAAGAAAGTTAGGGGCGGCCAAACCAAAATGTGGCATCAGTGCTTGAAGTCACTAACTTCTAGTCTGAGCCATGTTGGTAGATGCAGACTACTTGATTGGGGTCCGCGTGACTATCGTAACCAATGGTAGGAGACTCTTGGTGACATGGCTCAGAATCGATCACAATGGCGTCGGTGTATACACTCCCTGTCTTTCCTTAAACTAAGAGATTAAAATCGCTTCATATCTTTCTTTCTACGAACCAGTTCTTTCTTGTACTATATCTCTATATGCAATCTTTCTCTTATATATTACCACCTCTGACCTAACCACTGCTATGAATCCGGTGTTCATCTTGTTGTGCTGATGCGATAAGGCAACCTGGACCGATGCATATATGTGCCTGGTCCTACGTTGTAGCTGACTAACTGATGGTAAACTCATGTTTTCGCTAAAAAAATTTCTAAGAAGGGTAATTAAACAGAAAAGATTGTTGGAAAGAATGTAATTAATGTTTTCAGAAACCTCGACGGGTGAATAGAAGATCACATGTTGACCATCTGATAAATAATTGAGAAACTCGTTTTTGGAGACAGTTAACAATACCCTTCAATGCATCATTGGAAATTTGTAGAAATTTGCCATAAAATGATCATTTATCGCTAAATTTAAAGTAACCTCATATGGTTTAAGGTTTACAATTAACAGTCAGTTAGTAGCACTCCACTGGTTAGAATTTTAATAATTTGTTACGTAATTTGAAGATTACCTGTCGGGTCTAGTTCATAACACAACTACTGGTATCAGGACGTGTTGGGTCGGTGGCGTAGTAGTTGAATCAATTGATATCCAACTATTAGGTCACAAGTCAGAGCCCCACTTACGTTTATGTGGAAAACCGAGTCGCGCAACTAACACCCATACAAAGTGTATGACTTAAAACGGGGTACATAAATATGTACCTGTTGAGTCGTGCTAATTAGTCATCGAAAGGACATACTGATAAATAATTTACCTGATATTTGGATCACGAAAAGATCATTTTTAGCCTGTCTACCCTACTGAAATTAATATCTAATTTGGTTATATCGTATCCCAATATATCCAATTCATGATGCTGTAATGAAGCTTTGAAAAAAGTCAGTTTATTTCATAGACATGTGTTCTAAATCGCATTAAACTTCGAACTTATTAGCTAAAGGTATATTTTAAAATCTCGCTCCTGTATTAGTATAATCGACTGTTGAATGACTTGTATTGAAAATTTGTCTATACTTTTTTGGTTTTCCTATAGCATGGTCGTCGGAATAAATCAACTGTCACTTCCAAGACGAATTTATATATAAGCGGACTAAGTGAATCTGATACAGATGATACAGTTCGTTCACTTGTTGAAAATATTGTTCAACCAAAGTCTTGCAAAGCAATGGTTGTCAATGGAAGATGCAGAGGTTAGTAGTATTAACTAAAATGTGATATATTGATGATTTGTAAAGAAATTTTGATGTAACAGTAATCGTAGATATTACTATAGGTATTTTCTTAGCGTTTCGGTCTTTTCTTACATCAGTGCATGATGGGTTGTATTCATGTGAATTGTGGACACTCAAAACAATTTTCTGCAGTGTATGGTGGAGATAAGGTGTTGGTGAAAATCGTAGTGGTCTTCAAATTCCTCTATATTTGATTAGTTAACGATAAAATCCTAGCAATATGACTTTCTGTGGATCACTTTATTCCTAATCACTGGAGTTAATGTGATGCTGTGTAATAAGAATAACTAAACCATGACAAAGCATTGTACATGATTCATGAATAGTAACAACTTACTTAAATAGATTTATGAGATTTCACATATTGGATTAGTGATTTCCTTGGTATTGCCAGACATACACAAGTATTTGAGTAAAGTTAGATAATCAAATATGCTTCATAAATTGTGATGTGGCGCATATGTATTTGGTGCCCCTTTGTACCAATATTTATGTGTTCAAATGGGTCATGAGTCGTAGTACTTACTGTCAAATATGGTTTTAGACCATGTAACTAAGCATCTGAATGTGAATTGATGGTAATAGATCTGGTTATGCGTCGATGTTAGTTTTATTTTAGTTTCTTATCGTCTCTAACCATTGGTTACGATAGTCGATCTGTTCTCATCCAAATAGTCTGAATCTACCTACATGACTTAGTCCACAGATCAGGGACTTCATGGAATAGTGCTATATATTGATTTAGTAATTACTAACTTCCACCCCTCTACATTATCCTCGAATTAGGTGGTGGTGGAACATACTTGATTTTTTATAATGGGATAAAGAGATTCTCTTATTGAACTTTTTAGGTTCTGGTTTTATTGATTGCGCTTCTGAAGAGGATGCAGAAAAAGCGAAAGCACATATTTTAGAATGCGCCAGAACTAACGGACGCAAATTGTCAGTAAAGTATGCATATGAAAATGAGAAAGATGCTCTTAATGTTTATGTACGCAATCTTCCACGTGAAGGTTTTTCAAAAGAGATGTTGGAAAGTTTGTTTCAGAAATTTGGTCATGTTACGTCTGTTAAACTTCTTGAAACAGTCACAGGATTTACAGGTATGTAGCACTTTTTTGTCAACTTTTAAGCGAGTTTATGCGAGCATTATGCGTTATGAGTACATAGCTTTATGGTTATTGTTTGGCAATACTAATTAAGGGCTATCTTTACTCCATTGTTACGTCTTCCCAATTTGAGTGTTCACTCACTAAATTTGTTGTCGCTGCCTAAGGAGAGGGTGAGGCTCTGCGACGGCCTTGCGGGATTAGTAGAGGAGGCACTAGTTGGGACGGTCTGGTGCAGGAAGGTGACGCTGAGTGAGTTTTTCTAGCGAGGCGGCGTTGGCTGTGGCGGTCACTGTCGACATAGAGGAGTGGGACGTCCGGTGGCGAATTTTGATGGCCACGGCAGGTCGAATTTGCTACGGAAGTCAGCGCGCTGGCGGACTCGAAATTTTGACGGGGAGCGTGGCATAGACTGCGGCAAAGAAAATGGTACGGCGAGCAGAACAACCGCACGAGCGATTGTTTAAAAGGGGAACAAGTGTAATGTATGATACTTATATCCGTCAACATAGGCAGTATCTAACACCAATCAGAAGTGGAATATCTGCGAACAGAAGGCTGGGAAGATTGAAATGCAGAGAAGAGAGGAGAAAACTGATAACAATTAAGATAACAAGAAAAACGAAGGAACAATGAGGCTTTTTAAAGACAATTCAAAGATGTGCAAATTATCTATTTAATGTATAAGTATCACATTTTGCTAAACCACTGCAATTGTTCATTTAACAGTAAAATTGATCTTCCCCACCTAAGCGTTCGTTCACCACAATATAACATTTCGATTGTTTTCATTCTGCTTTAAAAATGATCTATTTTGTCGAGTTTTGCCTTGAAGCTTTTTATTTAAATCTAACTGGATAAAAATACGATTATCACAACTACAACAAACACCCGCAAACTTATCTGTTGAAGGTTCTTGTGATTTGCAATAAGATGAAAAAATACCATTCTGTTTAGTATGTGAAGCGGTCTACGAATGGTAAAAATACTTGACTTTTTAACTACTAAGTTGTAGGTTTAAACCCCGACCCACCTAGTTCGATGTGAGCAGTTGTGTGGTATCTTACAGTCATCACACACAAAACTATACTTCAAAGCTTAATAAACGAATCTGTTCATGTTTACTTGTGATGCATTCAACCTAATCATAATAATATCCAAGATAACTTTTTTGAAAAACGCAATTTGTCTGGAGAAGCGGATTAATTGCATATTTTACCAGCTCTTCAATTGTAAAGCAGTTTCGTCATTTTTAAGACAGATTCTAGTCGAGATACTATGATATTTTAGTATTACTGATGAACCGTATGATTATATTGACTTTTCATAGTATTACTAATCATCTATACTAGTGTCGCATGTTCATGTTTTATCTTATTAAGTTTTGAACGTGTCTTTTTCCAAGACTAATTATCAATTGTTCAAATTTTAAAGCTTCACTTTTACATCACCATTCAGACATCGTTTATACTTCATATTCTGAATCATTAAGTTTTACTGGTGTGTAAAGCTCCCACATTAATTCAGCCAGTTTATTAAAAAGGAATGGTACATTTTACCTACGTCTGCTTATGTTAAGGTGCTGACTGGTGGTTTCCTACCAATGTATTTTCTTCCTACTTTTTGACAAGAATGCATAATCAATCTTGTATGCAATTTATTAACGTACTGATTATTGTACAATATAAATCTAATGTATTGATCTATATACACTGTCTTCTATCAACAAGTAAGTGCTTAAAGCTGTGTCTTCATCTATTCAATTTAAGCGCATTTAACTCAAAAGTTGACTAGTTTGTTCACTAAATGTTCGAGCATTCATTTTTAAATTTTTTTTTCAGGGATTGGTTTTGTTCGTTTTGCCACAGCCGAACAAGCGGAAAAAGCAGTTGAACAAATGAATGAAGCAAAACATATTGTTCGAGGTGGGGATAAACCCATAACTTGTAAACTGGCTGATAAAGCAGATCCTAGACGACGTAATGCTGCTCCTAATGCACAAGCGTTTGTTGCTGCTGCTGGATTACATCCACAAATACCTGTTGCTAATCATTTAACGCGTACAGCTCAAGGTCTCTCTAATCTCGCTTCTCTTCAAGCTTTAGGTCAAGCTCAACAATCTACCTTTACTCCTCAATTTCCTTTAACTGCACAGTTAGTGCAACCTTTGCATCAAACTCCTGTTGTTGTTCCAAATATGCATTCATCCTCAATATCCTCACAAAACCGTAATATTTTATTGCCATCAAGTAAGTTCCATCTGTCGCGTAAAAATTTGTTTTAGTTCTTTTATTTCCACGTCAACCTTAAAGCGAAACTCATTTCACTTTTTATTCTCAAACATAAGCCCTATTTACTTTTTTCAAATATTTTTTGTTAATTTTCATTTGCAGCACTACTGCAGAATGGTCCATGTGGTGGTAATACAGCTGTCCCAGTTTCATTCCCTTCCATTGGAACGAATGGGGGTAATGGTCAGTCGACTATTTCTACTAGTTCTTATAGAGCTAACTTGGTTGGGATACACCAGGGTCAAATGCCTTCTGGAGCTCAACCAAACCAAGCAACTGCAATTGTTGCTGGATATGCTGATTATCCCTTCAGTCGTTCCAAATCATGTGTCAATGTTCAATCTGGAAATTTCTCAGCTAACAATCTCCCTGTTTATACAGCAAATGGTAACTCTTCTCAGTCTACTCATAGTGCTTTTCAATCAGTTGCATTTGGAACTCCTACAACTTCTAATTATCAGGGAGGATTATCGTATGTTCATCATCAACAACAGTCACAACCAACACCTGTAAATATTATTTCTTATGATCTTATTTTTAACCTACTTTTTTATCTGTTGTTTTTTGATACTCCAAATACTGGTATAGTTCCAGTGAATTTCTAAAGTAGAATATTATAGCTGTAATATTGTAGTTTGGTATTTCATGTTAATGAGGGCTTAAAAGTTCAGTTACGTTCTAGAAGTGTTCTGGCAAGACACTATTGGATACTATAACCGAAGTCATAGGGATATCACAAAATTGTATTTATTATTATTGAATACTGTCTACATGCGGGAAAAGACTGGAATAATACTTTCACTTTGTAATATAACATAATAATGTATTCATTGCGTTTGGCCTTATACAAGCCAATGACCAGTCACTCTTTCGAGTCATCTAACAAGGTCTGCCAGATTCATTAAACTTTACAACTATGAATTTTGTTTCTTTTTAATTGTTATTCAAGCTAGGACTAATTAAAATTTACGCCAAAATTTCAGCTTCATAGTTACAATATTTGATTCATTGTCGTCGTATTATCGATTCAGATCATACACTGCTTTGGCCGGTGGAGTGTCGTCTCATATCACATATTGATTTCACTGAGGACCTAGACGACCACGTCATCCTAATATGGAACTCCTTCACATCCCTGTACTTACATATTGATATTTTTCATGAGTCATTATTATTACCACTGCTACTAATGCTTGCGATCGTAGGAGCTATTTCTACTCTTGGTTTTGAGATAAAGTGTGTGTGTGTGTGGTAGTTCTGTCCACACAATCTTTCCTATCACCTCAATTATCATCTAATCTTTTACAGGAGTTCACTGCCAACATAATCTTTTATTTGATTTATAGCTGTTGTAGTGGTTTTCATGACTTTGATTTTGAGCCTTTATTTGAATACTTTTTTAGAGTGTTCCTGCAGCGGCGGTTGCAAACAGTTCTCAAATGGTTATTTTGGCTCAGACCCCTATTAATTGTCTTTATCAATCATCAAATGGATCTACATCAGCCGCTTATCCAACAGGTATCTCATCGACTAGTGGTCACCAGAAGCAACCACTTCTTTCCTCTAATAACACTCCTACAGTTTGCCAGGTGCAAAATATACCATGTAATTCGTGTCCAGTTTCAGAAGCAACTACAAATCTAAATCCTGTTGGCTTAATTACCTCTGAATTTCAAATGATGAATTTTGGTCCAAATAGCATAACTAACGTTTCATCGTCTCATTCAAATTTGGTGACTGATGTTTCTTGTGAAACACAAGAATGGTCAAACGTTGGCAACCAAAAAATATGTTCTTTGAATTCTGTCAACACGTCAGAAAGTGATGTAGCTTATCAATCACCATCTGTTCTTAAAAATTCACATGAGTTAACAACTTCAAGCGATGGGAATGTTGGTTATACTGCTACTACTACTCAAAATACTATTACTGTGTCTAATACAGTAGTAGAGCAAAATGATACTCAATGTTACACAAATCCTGTGCAAGAAAAAATTAGTTCTTCAGATTTTAATAACTTATCAAGTTTGTCAAATGAAGAATTTAACGTAGTCACTTCACTTAATCCTTCAAATCATTCTTCTGTCCCAAATTCTGCTTACTTAACGGGGAACCATCATTTCTCTTCGTCTAATTTAGAAGTTAATGGTTCATCGAATTCTACTGACTGTCAGTCAAGTGCTTTGTCATCGCAAAGAAAAAATAAAATTACGGACAAACATCGAGATTCATCATCGTCAAATTCAACCGTTTGTAGTCGTCATTGCAATGAGGTGGTCAGTTTAAATGATACCAAATCAGCATCATCATCGTCTATACAACATTTGAATAGACGAAAGAAAAATCCTTATTCATCTAGTATTAATAGTCATAAACAGCATTCAAGATCTCCATCGAAGAAAAATAGTTCACCTGTCAGCAGTAGTACCGAGGTTCGTATGCCAACTAGTTGCACGATTTTGAACCCATCGTCTCCTTAAGTAGAGACATAACTTACGTCTATATTGTTTTTTTTAAACAAAAAATCCCTACACACAGTTGTCGATCAGTTAAAATGGATTTACAATTTACATGCGTGGCCAATTCTCGCATTCAACACTAAATTTTTGTTTTAGGTACCAAACAAAAGTAAACGAAAGTGTACATATATCTCACCCTTTTTTAAACCACTCTGTAAATGATTTTACAATCAATGTTGTGTTTTGTGATTTCTTCCTCCCTTTCCACCTGTCTGTCGTTTTATTCCTTCATACTTCTCTCTTCTTAGGACGCTATCACTTTTCTTTTAGGGTCGACAGATTATTGTGTGTATGTTTGTATGATGTGAGGGATGTTCAGAAAAAGAAAACACGTTGGAAAAATAATGCTCAACTAGGAATCAGCCCAACAATTTGACCAAATAATCAATCTAGAAAACTGAAGGTTATTTGTGTATCTTGCTTAGTTTATGAGGAAGAAAAAAACAACTTCGCACACATTTTCTTTGTACTTTCGGTCGAAATATCAGCTCTTTTCTTGATTTTATGTGAAGTGCTGCAAAACAATGTCCAAGGTAACAGTTGAAGGGGTTGTATGACAATATTATAAGTTTTTTTTAACAAAAATGTTCGCTGCTGACTTTGTTAACTTCCTTCTGTTCTCTTGTTGCAAGAAATTTTCACTGAGCTTTTTTTCAAATATGGTCGTTCAACAAGAAGTGCGTCTGATCGACATGCCAAATTCCTATTTAAAGTTTAGACTTACAAATCGTGTCTAACATGTGTATTTAGTTCCACCAATGATACGTAGATCAGAATTGCCATAATACTTTGAATAGATAACTAGTTCACCGAATACATTCATTTGAAAATATTCGTGTCCTAAGGCTAATTGTAAACAAACAGGTTCAGTAAACTAACAATATGTAGAGTGTTTGTATCGATCATAGTGTTCACTGCATTATGTGTATTGATTCAGGTACTTTCCAGTACATTATGAAGAAGCGGTAGCACAGGATAATACTGGCGTATAAGTATAGCGTAATATTGCAACAGTTGTGACCCATTTACATACTTACGTAACGGTGTACATCACTGAGATCGGCAGGTGTTTTTCACTTAGAAGTTTCCTGATTCTTTACAGATTATTGGTTTACTTGTCAAGACTCTGGAATCCCATTACATCTGCTCCGTAATACGCATAGAGAATTAAATTGCAACTCCACTGAATTATTATAGAGAACCAGCACAGATCGTCCCTCGGTTTTCACAAATCTAGTTTTCAGTATAACACTAAGTTTGAGAGGGGAAGAAGCACTTTGCATCCTTGCTGATAGTTCCTCATGCTCCATCAAACCACGGTGCACATCACCTACTCCTTGTCGTTATTGTCGACCTGGCAACTACAGGTTTCGGCTCAGTGGTGGATCAGACTAAGTTAAATCTCTATAATCGCCCTTGAAGTGTGTGAGTAGGGGTTTAAAGCGCCTTCCCACTAAGTGGCAGTTTCTAGAACTTGCTGGATGCAGTGTTTTTGGGTCGTCTCCCAAGAAAGGCGTTCACTCAGAATGGTTGATATGGTGTTCACTCTGCCGTAGGGACTACTGAGGCGTTGTAGCAATAAACCAGGAAGTTGTGAAAAACTAGTGGGTCTAGGCCTGTCAATAAATGCTTGTGAGCACTAAAAGTCAAAAGTGTGGGACGTATACGATCTTGGTCTAGTTGATGTACTTCAAAGGTCCTGGGTGATGGAAAAAATGGTAAAATAGAAGTATCAGTGACATTCAGAAAGACAAGCCGGTGGAGGGCATGTTTCCAGAAAATACGAATGAGGTATTAGACAGGGATAAGTGAGTATCTGAGACATATTACCCTTCACATTCGATCACTGGTTCCAATTATTAGCCAAACCTAAACAAGATAGTCTATTTAGTCCGTTGTCTAGCGTACCCATCTTTTCGCCAACAAGCTGTGGACTTTGAGATGAGCAATGGTTCGGCATACGTAACACACCCCAGCCGATCGAGATTAACAATCACGAGTCGGTCTGTCTGGTAACCTACGTCTAATTTTGGCATTCTTCACTTAGTTGTTCCTGAAAATGGGAGTGGTGTTTCAAAGATACCTACTATTGAGTGCTTGCGCCCTTTGTATGTCATTACTTTCATAGGCCGAACAGATGCAGGAGCCTCACCATCTGCCAGTATCTGGAAAAGTGGGTTTCAGGAAGATATTTCGAACAAGTGGGTAACTAGGTTTAAGGTTGTTTACCGAAACCCACATCCCCTCAGTCATCTGAGTTCTTATTGAGAATAACAACAAAGCTTAACATGATATTCTGTCTAACACTGTCTTCTAGTAGGAGGTTGCATGATTATAATCTCTTGAAAACAAGTTTACCTTTTAAAAGCAGCTGTTTCTTTGTAATCATTAAGTGTCCTAGTCGGAGTGATGGGTTAGTTTGATGACGTGTAAGACCGGGAGGATTTGTGTTAAAAAAATAACTGTTGGTGGCTTTAATGGCATAACACGAGAAATTATTCAATAGGTCATGAGAGCTAGGACAGTTGGTCAGTTCTAAAATAGTAAGGTAGGAGAATCGCATATTTCACTCGTCCTAGATTATTTCTAGATGTTATATTGACTGAAATAGTAGTAAAATGGGTGAGACAGGCAATTCTGGTTTTCTCTAACTCGATGTTTTATTTAGCTAGTGCATGAGGTCCTTACTTAAGCCTCATGGGACTTGGGCCGCCAATGAAGTCTCAAACCAACTCTGTTCTTTCCAGTTGTCGCAAAGTGTTATTTATACTTGCTTTGTGATGAAATGTGGTGATTTGCACAGCGTGTCCCATCATAGTTTCCAATAATTCAGGTGTTTGATTATATTCATTGAAGAACTTTGTACGACGGCTGACATCACTTACCACATTCGGTGCTTTTTTAATCATGAAATAGCACCATAAGTACATGTCCGACTCTATTATAAGGATAACATTGAACAACATTTATATATATTACGAAGGTAATTTAGATATAGTAAACCTAAGGTTAAGCCCAATGCTTAGTGGAATGATAGTGGTCGCAATGCTAGTTTTGCCCATATCACATAGTAATTAATCCAATATTTGTAAATAGTGAGACGGCCCGATCCTCACGAGGAATGTCGGTCACTTAAGGATTACAGCTATGTCTAGCTGACGAATGTGAATGAACACAAAACCTAGGTCAAGGATTTCCTCCCGATTTGGTTTCGAACATCTAAACTAAGAAACGATCCACAATAAAAATTGTCCAAAAATATTATAAAATTGAATAATATGGTCATATTATAATCAGTGAATGAATTAAAATTTTCATTTGAATGAACGTATTTAAAGTCAATATTTCATGTACTTTAATATTTTTCTTAATTTTCATAAAAAAATTATTCTTTGTATTTCACTTTGAAGCAATAATATTCGCATCAGATTACAATGTGTGTGTATGTATATGTATTGGGCAATAAAGTGTATTCACTCATCAGGTTCATATGAATTATTGCAGTACTGAACAACGTATCATTTGGGTTAAACAAACATTCACTCATTTTGACCTGAAGTTTGTACTGATGATATCGTTCAGAAGAACGATGAAAGCTCTACAATTAAATAGAGTGACCACCATCCAATTTGTCTAGTAACAAAGATTTCACTCTAGATATGTATAAACTTCATCGGTTATGACTTTTTTTTTCTAGAACTTGAGAAGCTCATTTCAAAACTTTATTACCTATGCTCGGTATTAAGTGTTGTAAATTATTTAAAGAGGATTTGATGTAAATATAAAATAAACTCATATTGAATGGTGTCATTACAGTCAAGATTAAAGGATTTTCAATGACTTCCTGAAATTGTCATTGTAATTTTAAATTTTTTAAGTTAATTTACAAGGAGTTTTATAGAGATTGTCAAACTTAATAATTCACTTTATGAACTAACCTCAGCTAGGCAACTAATGAAAATCAGGAAGTACTGAACAGTTGTTGAAAAGAAATCAAAAGTTGGTCGCGGAATATCGAGCATCGACTGAAGCTAGAAATGTATAGCAACTCAAGAGTTTGTTCACATTTAATTCGGTTAAGTCATTTTGTTAACTTACTAACGAACTGAGTCATCCGTACAACAACAACTTATCTATATCATTATATCTTTATTACTGTTGCGAATGGATGCTTGAGTATTGCTTACTGCCCACGCATTTATTCACGCTGCTAGCCTTACTACTAACCGCTTAATTGATTCGATGATTCATTCATTTCACTATGTATATATATGTCCATGTTATTCATATTCATTGCTCTCTCTCGCTTACTCGAACTCATATTCTCTGACTCACTCGCTCGTTTGCCTGCTTGCCTTTCGGCACAACTCTTCTATGCTTGTTTAACGCATCTGTAATTTTGGATATCTGTGTGTGGTCCTGTAATAAACGTAATCAACGTTTCGTATTCGTCTCCTGATTAGTATACCGTTGGGGCGTTATATAGGACGGTTATCAAGACGAACTGTATACGAAGTTTAAGGATTATACCGAATATCGGCCACCACATAAAATGTTAATCACTGTATATAAACTTAGTGGTCTAAAGGTTAGACAGTCCCAATAAGAGATGAAGATGCTGAGGTCGATCCTTGGTAAATTCTTGGATGTGCACTTCTAAGGTGTCACATACTCGAACGAAACTTCTTTCTAGTCCTTCCTATTTATCAATGGTTATCCATCTAAGGTCATTCTATAATGTGAACTATATAATTTCTGAGTGTTTGTAATTATCTGTCAATAATCTTAAAGACTGTAATTGATCAGTTTCTATTGTCAATCCTTTTAAAATGAACACATGTCAACATAAGATGTGATTGATCAGTTAATAAAGATAAACAGACAAAACTTCAGCTATGCTAAATTCATAAGACACTATTTAATATTGTGATATACTTTCTACTCTGGGTTTTACTGTACCGTGGACTTCTGATAATTATATTAATAAAAAAATAAAATAAACTACTATCTAACCTAGAATCTATTTCTTAATTGTTATTTGGATATTGCACTTATACTTATTACATGGACTGAATAGGTGGTCTACAATTATCATGTATTATGACCATAACACCTAATAGTTAGTTCGTATTATATCATATAAAGTAAACTCTGCCTGGAGCCCCTCTGAGGCTACTGCCAGTCTCAAGCCCGAATAAAGGAGGAGGATTGTGTATAGGGTTAGCGATCCCATCCCGTAGAAAACTAACTCGCTAAAAAAAACGCTAACCAGAAAAAAATTATTCCAACCACTTAAAACGTTAATCATATAAAATACCCTTTATTTTATAGTTATATTACTCTGTTCATTGTTAGAACTTTTGGCAATGAAGATTTTTTTGTTTTATCATTAAAAAAAAATTGAAGATAAACCAACTATGCAGGCGAATAAATTGTACTTTTGGAGAGGTTAATTTTTCTTGTGTACTTACTGTTGGTTGACCTGAAATTTATGGTACTGCTTTTTTTTGGGTTTTTCATTTAACGAATTGTAAACGAGGATAGAATATTATTATTAATTTGATAAAAGTTAATATAATTTTTAATGGTAAATTCAATATAAAGGTGATTTATAATTAGTAGTAGGTAAATGATAATAAATTAATTCATTGTTAA